TGGTTGGAGAACAGTTTTTGTCTTAAAATATAAGGAATCGTTTCAAAAAGAAGACAGATATTGATGACAAATTATTACAGAGAATTGCTGATATCTAATCATTACGCGTTGTAGACTGGTAGGCAGTCATCAGCCAAATAAAGTAATGTCAAGTAGCATGCAATTTGCATTACAGGAAAGTAAATTAATTGCAGCAGTCTAGGTAGATACTCCAACACTGAGTTTGAGCAGAAGGAACTTCTCATTTGCTAAAGCCTAAGTGCTCTTTTCGATATTCAGAAAAAATATTTTCTTACACTATTACTGGATAAGGAAGTTGGTCATGCAGTTTATTATTAGTGCTTCTGTGACACCTACACACGTAGCCTTCGCAAGTGTGGCAATGCCGAATCTCCCTTTGCCGAAGCTCAGATTTGAGAACGAAATCCTCTACTACGCCTACAAGCCGAAGAACGTAAAGATGCAACCGTATAACAATCCTCTTCCCCCAAGCCAACCAAAAAGTCACCGTGATCAACTATAAAGAGGAAAATAAGAGGAACACATCTTAAAGATCTGAAGAGAAAGAATAAGTTTAAAACAAATGAAAAAGAGGGAAGGAATGAAGAGTCAGAAAAGAAGGAAGCTTAATACAGAAGTCAAAAGAATGAGGAAGAAAAACACTCTTCTCTGATTGTGAAATCAAAACAGTCCATTCTCACCACCAGTGAAATCATATCCAGTAGGTGTTTCAGTATTTGTAGGCGTTTTGAGGGTTGGCCACCTGGATGCATTCTGGAGGCGCCTTAAGAATTTATTAGGTTGGAGCTACCGCACACTGAACAGTTGCTATTGCAGTCACATACACGTTTCAACACGCTGATCCCTTCTTGAACCCCTGCCCCAACGTCAGCACTTTGAGAATGTTAAGAATTACAACACAGTTTTATAAATCTTCACCTTATATTGTGTGTTCAGTTCCGGTTACTCCATTTGAGAGGCCACCAGAGCGTTACAGGCCTTTAGGGAGAATATCATCTACAACGTTTGGTTCCACATTTTCTGTACCATCCATATGAACTAGAACGATACAGAAAAAAATTCAGACATATCTAGTTTTTAGGTAAATATTGTACAGCATGTGCATTACAGAGCATTCGGGGACAGAGAGGAGGTTTCTACAAGCAAGTCAGGGAAATCACACGGTGCAAGTTATTTAGGCTGTGGTCCCACGGCAGCCTAAGCCAATCTAACTGCTGGCTCTTTCGCTCCCATCGTTCTCCTCACCCCTCTTGGGAGCTCTCAACCCCTCACATTTCACCGCCTCTAGCGCTCATTTGACCTTCTGTGAAGCCATCTCAGCACACTAACCAGGCAGAACACCAAACCAGCAGCTCTCCAGAACGCTAAGGAGTTTTCTGATGCACTGGTAATTTGCAATGGTTCAGCTGAGGCTCTGAGGCACACTAGGATCGGTGCCGCAGAAGCAACAGGGATGAGCAGCCAGCTGTTACATTGGCCACGGCTGGTGTGGAATCCCAGTCTTTGCACAGCGATTAGATGATCAACAGGGAATATTGCTGCCGTGGTTAAGCAGCTATTTGCAAAGCAGCTGTTTGCTCTGTTAAAAACACGGTTGGTCATTTGCACGTTTCAATATAGTCACGGGTTACGTGGGTCTGCTGCGTGACCAGCACAGAGAAGGTTTGCCTCTGGGCACAAACGAACAATCCTCTGGTGAATCTTGTTTTTTTCTGGGGTTACTGCCCTCAGCCATATGGTAGCACTGCCACAGCAAATGTGTTTAAAAAAAGTTAAAAAAGCAACCCAACCGTCAGTCACTCACCGAAAAGGTCAGCTTCCCTCCTGCCCCCAAATTTAAAAGGTATCTTTTCGTGGCAATTTAAAGTAAGACATTGATTTTCGCACAGACATGTCTGAGGCATTAGTTCATCCTCCTGCCTGCTGACTCCTTAAAGGAGCAAATGCCTTTGGGAGGTAACATCTTTAAGCCACACACACAGCTTGCCAGAGCTCATTTGTCAGTGCCCTGAGGCAAGCCTTTCATCTTTCAGCCACATAATGATAGCAGAACTGTATTATAGATGGCTGTATTTACATGCATGAGCAATCCAGTTAAAATACCTATTTTTGCTGGCCAATGCGAACAGCAAATTCTCCTTTGCTCGCTACCAGCCAGCAGAGCCATTCAGTAGCTGTCCACAAAACTCAACCCCCTCTCCAAGAAACGAGTCTTTGAAATCTTGCTGTGAACACATGCGTGTACTCAGGAAGATTCTGCTCAGTAGAAGCCAAACGACGCGGATTAGTCCTTTTATGAACAGATAGCACTTCTCCTAGATAAAAAATGAACCCAAGACGCAAACACAACTTCAAAGGAAATAAAAAACCCAATCTCTCCCAGACCTCTTGGTATGACTGATGTTTTAAATTCTAACAAAATGACTAAGAATCACCACAAAAAAGGGGACGGAGGAATGTGAGCACAAAATCAAAACTTGCTACAAAAACAAAGAAAATATCCTCAGAGCTGGTCTTGATTACAACAGAAAACACTTTCATAAATACCAACGTTACAGTTTAAGAGAAACACTCTACTCTTAGTTTTATAACACCTAGGAACTGTCTGTATGAGTACTAATGGGCTGAGCATACCGGTTCTTGCTGGAAGACTGGGCGTTTTCACGTAAGAGCACTCAGAGGTGGCACTAATGACTTAACGTGGTTTTAGAATGGCAGAAAGTAATTGCATCCCCATGACAGGACTCCGAGAACACACACCTCTAACTAACTTTGGCACGATGTAAGAAAATAAGCACGTACCTTCACCAGAAACAAAGACTACACTCAACAACAGGGCCTGAGCTTGCATAAAGGCAATTAACTCTATCGCGCTGTGACGGTGGTTTTGTTGGCTCGGTTCCCACAGACTTCAGTTGTACACAGTCCCGTTTAAGCCCACATTCTCCTGAGAGCATTTAGCCTGTTAGAACAGTCACAGGACCTACGCAAACTCGCATAATAAGCAGGGCTTAGCAAACTACCACGGTTTGTATTCTGCTGAGTAACTACTCTGCTTCTGAAGTACTGTGGCATCAGTCGCATCTCAGAAATAACATTTCTACAGACTAAAAAGCCCACATCTGCCTTCAGTGCGTAGTAATTCAAATGAGGTAATTCAGCCCAGCATTAAGGTGGGGAGGTTTATCTGGAAGTCAGTCTAAAGAGTCTACTTATTGTAAAAGTAGTAAGAGATGAAACGCATGTTTTTATGTCATCCCCAGCAACAAACACAATTCAACTCTTGCCTGTATTTAAATACCAGCCCTTGAACTCTCAAAGCCTTTGTAAAAGATAACATCTTTATAAACAAAGTTGTGTTATCTTGAGTCACGCAGCATCTACCTTTAAAGTGGTATCAGCTTTTCAGAATCGACACTCCCATGTCTTGAAAAGCAAATCACTATGAACTTCGGCAAAAACTACATGTAGTTCTTCATAGACTAGTTTCCTTTAAAAAAAGTTAGCAGATACCTTTCTTAAAGGATCTTCACAAGAAGGTTCCTTAGATACGCTTGACCAAACAGCTTTGTTTCAGTCAATTAGATTTAAAAGTTACCTCAGCACAGAGCACTGTACAACGAATAATACTGTTTTCAGCTAAGTTCGTACTCCCTGAGGTCACACGCTAACGCTCACAGACTCTTGAAGGAAATTGGACTTGTGCAGAATCTGCAGTCTAGATGAAAAGAAGTTGTACAGAAAAAAACCACCTATTTGCTATATATTCATTTTTCCGCTTTAGATCTCAAACTTAATTTAAAACATGGTTACAGTATGATTTCTGTGTTATAATTTTATCTTCCCCTAAGCCAGGAACAGAAGTGAAAAAAGCACAGGTGCATTGGGGGACAACATTGCGTTACCATCGTTACTTAAGATGAATGAAGTGAGAGGGTTTGTTCTGCCTATAGCAAGAGGGCTAACACACCTTCCAGATGACGTAATCCTTTAAGATCAACCTGTGGTAATAAGCGATCATCTAAGTCTTACTGACCGCATCTGGCAGAAACCAGGGTTTCTTCACATTTATTACAGCAAAATATTGATATTATCCACTTTTATACTGCAGGAAGGAACTTACTGAGATGAAATATAATCATTTTGACAAGTTAAAACATTTTTAAAAGCACCTGCTTGGCTTCAGTCCATTTCCCATTTCGACAGACTCGGGCACCAAAGCATCCACTTTTCCAGAATAAATCTGTCACTCTTAAAAGCGTTAGGTCAGGACTTCAGTGGAAACAAAGGCCTCTTTCATAAGGATCTCTAGAACAAAGACCTGGGACCAAAATTCTCGCTTCTACAGATAATTTAAGGATCTAATCCAGAATACACTTACAGAATGGACTACGTACAGAGAAGCTCAGGGTTAAAACCCCTAAAGGAAAACAAGTGACGCAGTTGCACGTAAGAGAGAGCTCGGACGCCAGGTCAGCTTCAGTGCTGTGCACAAAGGAAGAATTAAAATCAAGACACCCAGAGAAACCAGGAAGTGAAAACACCAGAAAAACAGAATAAATTCCATGCGTAAACTAATCCAATTTCTTTGTACAATAACAAGACCCATAGTCTTTATTAAACTATTGTCACAAAACAGAACAATTACTGAAGGTGAATTACTGAAGGTAACTAACATGCGGCAACAAAATTAGCTATAGCAAGGGAAAACATCCTTAATCTTATCATTCCACTTCTCCTGCAAAGGTGGCTACCCATCTATAACGGCACGGGTTGCCTGTCTGCTCCCGAGCTGCCTGTTTGCAGCCTGTAGCTGGCACAAACTCCTAGCTGGTGATCAGCAGCATTTGCTGCCATGCTGGGCTGCCAAATTCAGTGCTTCACACGCAATGCATTCCATCGCCCCTTTGGTGCAGCAGCCATATTAAGCTGATTTTTTCATAACGTACCAGTGGACACATTCAAGTAGATAGCAATACGATGGACTAACTCATTGAAAGTTTATTAGGAAAGCCATCAGTGAACATATGCACACACGCACACTCTCAACAAGAGTACAAGCAAGAATATGCAGAGCTTTGAGTTCTGCCACCCCATGAACACAGCATTGAAGTTGCTGAGAATTCCAGGACAAAGTCAAGAAGCACCTGTCTTTTTCTAAAGAAGTTTCCAAAAGCCTTTTTTTTTTTTCCTTCTAAAGCAGTAGCTTTATCAGTGTTCTTGTGTATTACCACTGCACAGAACCACCACAGTTTTTCTGTCAGTGTATGGAGAACAAGCTTAACAACACATGCTCTTATGAAAGTATCATCAATATTTCCTTATGGTTTTACAGAAATAATTTCTGAGTTTAGAAAACTAGAAATCCATTTCCCTGCCTCCTTTCCTTGACAACTGCTACTCTAATATATAGTACTGTAATTGCCCCCCTCTAAAACCTGCTCAAGTATATAGCTTAAGCCTCTCAGCCACTTGGGATACCAAGTCCGTCTACAGTCTTCTCTCCCTCTCTCTCCTTTTATCCCCCGTGCACGAGCAAATACCACTCAAGCCTTTCTGTACCTCAGCTCACAGAAGACATCCACATACCAAACCAATTTATGAGATATATCCAAAAATTACACTAAAATAGCTGCAGCCTTTTCACCTGCCAATTTAACAGCTTAAATCTTGTATGAGTTTGTGTAGCAACCATTCATACTGCAGAACAGTGTTTTATACAAAAATGGTTTAACTACTTAATATACATTGGAAATATTAAGATAGTAATTTGGAGCATCAAGGAAAATTTTCAGCGTTACAATATCTTAAAGTTTAACTATGAACAAAGTTTAAGCCTTCTCTCTGGATTTACTTGTATTTCAAAAGCCAATACAAAAAGAAAAATGTTACATATGTACCAGTCACTCCTGTATACTAGAATTTGAGCAGCCACTGGGAATTTAGCACCGCCGCATTTTCCAACAATATGCAACACTATGTTCAGCTGAAAGGGTACTCTAATGCAAACCTGGGTTTTTTTGCTGAGCCCTTAGCAAACGTGGGAACTCCACTGCTTCCGAGTAGCTCAATTATTTGTATGTAAGTGACAGCAGGTAGCTATTTAAATAGATTGTTTTGTTATCTATAAATGCCACTACAGGCAAGTCTTCGCATGGCTCCGCTTTACTTTCGTGGATTGGTTCAACCCAAAATATTAGTACTGGAAAAGCCTAGTTAGACCAATAGCATAATTACATTAAAAAAATCCATCTGGTTTTAAGTATGCAAGATCTAGTCAAAGCAAGCATCAATTTCAGCTACTGGTTTTCAAGCAAAAAGCCTTTTTACGGCTTCCATCACCCTACCAGAGGTAACAACGAGAAGCAAGTCTAAGCCACAGGAGCATTGGTCTATTTTTGACAGTGGTATTTAAGTATTTATTAAGCTGTTTTCATCCATTTATTCAGTTGGCTGACATCCATCTGCCACATGTAACATTTGAAAATGCACAGTTAGCAAGCTGCTGAAATAAGGAACCTGGATAGTATTTGGTTGCATTTTTCGGTTAACATAATAGGCAAGAGCTTCTAGAATTTGTCTTGCTGATATACTTCAACTTTGCCTGAAGCAAGGATGGGAAAAGGTCCCCCCTGCTAGTATAAAATAGTTCAAGTACTGGAAAAAAGCCACAAACATTTTTTTAATAGCAATATTTGCATAAGCAGAAAACAAACTCCCAGTTTCTCATTGTCTCTAGCAATATTCAAGCAAAGCTTAAGTTTTAAAATACAGATGTTTAATTATTTAGCCAATATAACAGTTCTACAAACTGCATCACAGACAACATTGCACAGCTTATAACCAAGATCAATACTAAAAGCTGAAATCTTGCTAGTGACAGTGCTAATACAAATTGGCAATTTTAACCTTTCCATTCAGAAAACATCCATTCTTCTGAACCCCACTGATGTATACCATTTATGTAAATATTTATTAGATCCAGTCATCATGCTACAGTATTAGTCAGGTTAATAAACCTTCTCACTGTGAGAATACACCAGCATAAGGTATGAACACAATGAAATCTATATGAAATTTAATTTTCCAGAAATATCCTTGTGGCCCATCACATTCAGACTAAAGTACTGGAAATTTAAAATATTTACTTGTCTTCTTAGCATACCCAATGTGTAAGAATAATTTCTTGTTCAATTCCCAAAAATAAATAAATGCTTTCAATTGAAAGCTAGTATTTTTCTGATTTTCCAAAGTGGAGTCCTGGGGGAGCGGGGAGAAAATGCTTCAGACTTGTCACCAGTCCACTTCGGTACATAAAAGCATCTCCTGTCCCAGTATTCGTTCAAATCCAAGAGATATTTTCTTCCAGTGAAATATGACCGGAGCACTCATGTTATTTTCAGCAATTCAGTCTGTTTCCATGGCAGCACTGCGGGATTCCTTAGCCACCATGAGTCGCATTAGCTGACTGTGGAATTTCTCGATCTTCTTTACATCTTGTGCCTGGTCTGTCCTATACAGCAAACACTGTAAGAGAAAGTTGCTTAATATCAGATTTCGCTGAACTGCTTTTATCCTGTTTACAGTTGCAACAAATTTGTGCTTGGAACACACAGAACAAGGGAAGTACCTAAATGTTCGTTTGTGGCATGTTGTTACCATGAGGCAGCACCAACACATACCTACCCTGTTTTAAAGAACACAAACATCTGTGTTTACATTTAGGTTTCTCTGAAAGGCTCATGCCTTCCATTTTGAAAATAGAGAAGCTCATGATTTATCCTAGTTTCTTCTCTCTCAAAAAAGGTGCTAAAACTTGGGTTTTAATACTGCCTTTAAAGACACCCTTGTTTGTGTTGTCTAAAAACAGAAGCAGATTTTAAACCTGCAGCTACTTTCCTATTCTCTATATTCTGAAAGCAAGTTTATTTTGCCTTTCACAGTCCTTAATGTTACACTGCCCGTGATGTAAAGTCAGTTCAGTATTTCCCACTGAAGAGGATCCCCTCCCCCAAGTAAAATCTGTTTCTAAGACACTCCTAAATAAGGAACATAACATCTGATTAAGATCAAAAGGAACTCCTTCATGTGACAAGCCTGTAAACGCAAAAGGAACAAGAGCAACATGCCGATGATTTATCATAGAAAGACCCGCTTAGGTTTTTCTGCAGATTAAGTAATTCCTTACACCTGTACAGCATGAGTACGACTGCCCAGGCTGATTTAACAATGAAAAAACCCCAGAATGCTCCATTCTTCAGTGCTGTCAACACGACAACTTTTGCCAGCATTAAATTCCTATTTTAATTCAGAGGCAAACAGTAGAAAAAACAGGTGATTTTTTTCCTTCAGCTGTATTAGTTCTACAGAGTTAGCAGCGAGGAAAACTTCCCTTCCCACCTTTAGAAAAAAAAACAAAGACAAAACCAACGCAACCCCCTGCCCCCTCACCGGTGTAACAGCTTCCCGTGACTGGAAGCAGGTAAGAAGGCCTGTAACTGAAAACAGTCCAAGTTCATGAATGACCCGACTCCAACCTTCCCCTATGGAAGATTTCAATTTAACTGCCTTTCACCTCCCCCTGTTATCAGTGCCCCATACTCAACATCTCACCCACACTAAGCCCTATTATATTATCAAGAAGTGTCATTACTGGAGTTTCACATCTCTCCCAGGTATTGGAAATACTAATGCCAGGCTATTTTTCCTGGAAAGAGGGAAGTCTGAATTTTCCAAATCTGAAGATTTGGAAAAACAGACTGCTGTTTCTTACTCTGGACTGCAGAACAACAACTTGGCTATAACATCACTAGCACCAAGAACCTGTCGCTGGCGCGCACGTCAGCATGCACACACTGTTGCATGCCGACACATTTCTACCCGCTACCCACCATCTCACATCCCAGCCCCACACATGCTTCTAAGCATCCTCCCAGACTATTTAGGACAAGGGCAACCAGTAAGTGCAGCAGCTCTACCTCCTTGTACAGCAGCTCTTGGAAGGACACTGCAGAATTCCATGTTGAGCGTACACACCATGGTTTTTACTGACTGTGTAACTGACACCGTACCAGTATTTCAGAAGATGGGATTTCTGAACGGCAAGCGAATCTTGTCATTCAGTCTGCAGCACTCCACTGTCTCATAATCACAAACAAGGAGCTTAACCTACGGCTGGAAGCTGTCACCACTCTGAACAAATTAAAAGGACCACACTCACATTAGTAAACACATCTGTGTGAAGATGCTCCTGAAATACTTCAGCAGAAGCTACCAATGTAGTTCCATGAAGCACTTTCAGATAGACAAGAGGGTCCAAGATTTTTGTACTGCTCGTTTTCCTTGTTTTCACAGAATCCCAAAATAATTTTGTTGACACCCACAAAGAACACTGAAGTGTTAGAACTTCTCATGGACTGTGCAGAGTTGAACCACAGGTTAATGTCAGTCACAGACACAGCAACTAGGGAAGGCTGGGCACAGACAGTTTGAGAAAACTGTCAGGCACTCTCAAGGCAATGGCTAAGAGCTCACAAGCTGACAGCAAAATGCAAGTCTGTGGGAGGTACAATAAGCCCTGAAAGGGGAATATATTCTGTACTTACAGCTACATCGTCCGTTACTTTGATACAGAGGTTCCCATCACAGTGTCGATATTTGAGAACAACTCGCACCTGAAATGACAAACATTTTATGAATTAGCACCTACAGCTAATGATTCTCATAACATATGTACAGGAAACCTGCCCAAATTCAGACTACCTTTTACTAGAATTCTGTACTGCTTACACATTTTCACCACCTCTGTGGTGGTCCCCAGCTCTGCTGGCCACTAATCCTACAGCCAGGATGGTTTGGAAGTTAAACCATCACATTTCCCTGCCTAACATTTTAAACTGCTATTATAATAGCATCAGGAAGCTTCACATTGGGCATGTTCAAACCCACTATAAATACAGCAACGACAGTTGCAGGGACCTCAGCAACAGGTAAAATAAACTAGGAGAGTCATGTCAACACAAGATACCTCCTCGCCATACAAAGCACTTCAGAAAAACTAAATGGAAGCTTATGTTTATAGACTTGAAACACTTACAAATAAAAAAGTTCTACATGAATATTTGAAAGCTATTAACTGAGTGGGGTAAGCTCAACATTGCTGCTTTTTCTTCTATGGTACCTAAACTATTATCTTCTTTAAAAGCTGTATTTCCAGTCACTACAGTTAATTCAATAGCTGCACAGCTTTGAAGCGTTCTGATGTTTTGCAAGTGGAAAGGGATGGTACAAGAGTAACACTTTTCGAGTAACTAAAATCAGAAGACTGAAGAGAGTTCTTGCAAATTAAATTGCTTTCAAGACTCAGTAAGGCTAAATTTGAAGTCTGAAAGCAAGCATTTATCTTCTCACTAAAACAGTTACTACTGTAGTCACCTGCCCCGCGTTTTAACCTGTCCGCAGTCGTCCTGGACTCTCAAATCACCAGAGTTCTCAAAACCATGGTGATAAAAATCAACATCCTCAGCAACTGACTGAACATTAAATGCTTCCTCCTGAATGCAGATCTGGCCAGAGACTTTGTATCTGTTGTTTCTAGTCTCAGCTAGCATCAGCAACTAAAAACAAAGCAAGGTGTCCTTTTGAGAACATTCTGAACTCAGGCTATAAACAGGTCTTTGTTGTACAGTGACCTGTGCTAATGGTCAACAACCTCCTTGACTACAAAACACATTTTGAAATTCCTGCTCCGAGATGGATCTCATCAGATTTACCCTTCTTGTTTAGTGTCATACTCCTACCACAACAGCTGTGTAACAGTACACCTCTCAACTGCGCAGGCCCAAAAGCACAAGAGAGGCTGCCACAGCAGCACGCATGACCTCAGTAGGTATAACTTGCTCCCACAAAAGGCAAGGCCACTCACTAGCTAGCCTCACCAGCCCACGAAGAAAGCACCCCATTCCCATGATTCTTGTTATTCCTTCAGTTTCCCAACAAACCCAATTACATACAACAGCTTCTCAGGCTAGTTCTCCGGCAAATTAAAAGGAAGGTACTCATGGTGTGACCCTGGGGCCTATGTAAACTCCTTTCTAAATAGACAAGCTTATTGCTGTGGATGGGAAGAGATTGCCTTTGGATATACGTCCCTTAAGAAAAGGGGAAGAGCAACTCTTGGCTGCAGAGACATCCCTCCCAAACGCTTTCATTTGATTGGATATTACAGAGCATAAGAAGGTAAAACAATTTATTTTATTATCTGTACATAGGTGACAAGTGCATACGAAGTAGTCAACTGTGCTAGTTAAAGACAGATGTAAAACACTACTTCTGAAGGTTTCTCTGTGTCCTCTATTTATGGTGAGGAAAACTAGGCCTTTCTTACATAAGTCTTCTCAGGCACATGAGTTCCACATTACCTTTTGCGCTACTTCTTAGTTAAGATGCAACGCTAATTCTGAAGACTGAAGAATTGCTCTTCATGTTTGCACAAACTATACTCCTGAAGGAGTTACCAGAAATAAAAAGCAGTCCAAGAAGTTAATTCCTAGAGCAAATATTCTTTAGGAAGCTAACACCTTCCAGCCTGAAGTGACACTGCAGGCAACAGTGCAATGCAGGAGCTAATGAATGCTTTCTTTTAGTATTTTTGGAAGACAAATTCAAACAATATAGCCTTACACGCTGTCAACACACTCTTCATTCAACAGAAATCTTTTAATCCCGGTTTCTAAGACACAGGTACACTACAAATAAACCCAACGTCTCTGAAGGCGGGCTCTTGAGGCTCGTATGTGTCGCTGATAACAACACCTGAACACCGTCCCCTGTGTACGTTTTTGGGCTGTTAAGCGAGAACTCCCTCCTGTTTCGTGGAAAATGAAGGTCGGGGTGCGACACCAGCGAGTCACCCCCCGTCCTTGCCGCCGCTTCTTGTCCCCTCCGTGCAGGCCACTCGGGCTACACCTCGAGAAAGCCCTCCAACCGCTTAGCGCCCGG